GTGCCCAAAGGGGACTAAACACTATGTTATGCAAGTTGTCCTGGAAACCACATTTCTCCTGGTGAATGAATTATTGACAAACTGCTAATGTTAACTAATCCAACTGAATAATTCAGTCGCAACACAGTCCCGGATTCAAAACTCTCTGGCACGTTATTCTTCCCTTCAGTGCTTTTGTGGGTGCATGTGAAAAAGAAGCTTTTAGGGTTGTCAAGCTTTGTCACAACAATCTGGTCTCGGCGCTGTGACATGACATGATGCTGACAGGTGAGGAAGAGTTCTCACCTTGCGAGGGATTGATGGGAGATTAGAGATCTGAGACAGACTGTAGTCACATACTAATGAATACGGTAAAAGCAGAGTGTGTACATCAGACAGAGTAATTTACAAAAGGGCATGTGGAGGAAAAATAACAAGAGCAAGAGAATGTGTGTTAGACCTCAAGTGTGAATGATAAATGAAGTGTAGACAGAGAGGAGCTCGTAGAAGTAAACACTGCCAAACAAGACAATGTGTTTTAGACAGAGAGATGACAAATGCAATGAGAAGAGGAGGCAGCCGAATGAATGAGTGCATCCAATATCAACAGATATGATAGCGTGCAGCTCTCGAGCCCATGAGGATTACGTAAAGACGATCACAGAAAAAGTGCACACCGAGGAATACGAGGTCTCTGGAAAACAGGCAACGAGTTTAATGATGCACATCATTAATGACATCTTCTGGATGACATAGCAGCCATATTATTATTATACAACTAAGTGATACTAGGCTAAGCTACAATGATGAGCCAAAAGATTATGACTACTTAATATGATGTTGGTCCTCCGTGTGCTGCCAAAACAGCGCCGACCTACCCAGATGTTACAAGAGCCCTGAATGTTTCTCTGGGACCAAGACGATCCTTCAAGTCCTGTAGGTTGCAAGGTGGAGATGCCGTGGATTGAACTTGGTCCAGCACATCCCACAGATGCTCAAATGGATTGAGATCTGGGGAATTTGGAGGCCAGGACAACACCTGGCTTGAACTCTTCATCATGTTCCTCAAATCGTTCCTGAACAATGTGTGCAGTGTGGGCGAGTGCAATATCCCACTTCCACCAGGGAACACCACTGTCATGAAGGGTGTTCCTGTTCTGCAACAATGTTTAGGTAGGGGGCACTTGTCAAATTTATGCCCACATGAATGGCTGGACCCAGAGTTTCCCAGCAGGGGTCATCATAGGCACTCTGATTGGTCTGCGACTACGCAGCAGAGTGCGATGGACTTTATGTTGTCAGACATTCCTCCCTTAACCATCATTAAAGTTTTCTGTGACTTGTGCCTCAGTAGACCTTCTGTGCCTCAGACCAGACAGGATAGCCTTCGTTGCCCTCGTGCATCAATGAGCCTTGGGCGCCCAACACCCTATTGTCTAAAATTATTGCGGTTTGTCAATCCTCAGACCACTGTTGGTAAATTCTCACCACTTCTGACCAGGAGCAACCCACAAGCCATGCCATTTCAGAGATAACTCTGACCCAGTTGCCTTGCCATAACAATTTGGACCTTGTCAAAAACACTCAGATCTTTATTCCTGCAGCCAACATGTTGATTACAAGAACGGATATTTTGCTTACCATCTAAAAGAGCTTAAAATGTGACCTTATTAGGAAATGATCAACAACATTCACCTTTGACTGGTCATAATGTTATATATTCCTAAATCCTAACTTAATTTGCTTTATACTATGATATTGGCATATACTATGGCTGCACCAGCCAAATCATTTGACCACGTTCTTCACCTACATCAAGATATAATGACACACTTTGCTGCTTCTCTTCTTCAACATTTTTCCTTCCAACAGCCATTTAGATTCTATCCAGGTCATGGCATCAGTGTAACAGACCCTCCCCCCCCAAAGAGGCTTGAATCTGTGATGTGCGCTGTCAAACCCTATATGCATGCAGATTAATGCATAGTTACTTTAGCCCCCTAGAATGCATATGTGGGTCACAAATGAGATTCTTCTCTGAAATGCAAATTAGATATAACACGACTTCTGTATGTCAATCAAAAAAAAAAATTTTCAATGATAGTTGAGATTATGTCTGGGTGACCATGATTTTTACAACTGGGACATGTGGATCAACATCTTAGATTTTTTTTCCCATCTTTTAGGAATAGGGAAAGGAAAGGGAAAATATCGTTTTCTTTATTAATACCCCTAGTTTACATGTATGCGTTTAAAAAAGGTAACCCTACGCTTTTCCTTTTATAGGAAAAGGGGTAGGGTTACACAAAATTAGGGTGACCGTATGTGTGTGTCTACATGCATATATATATATAAACTAGGGGTATTAATGATGGGGTTTTAAGATGAAAAGACTACTTCTTACGAAAGTCCATCATCAGAATTGATAAATCCAAATATTACATTGTACAGTTGTGATAAAAGAGTGTTTGCAGGCTTACAGAACTACTCGTGTCCTTGACTGTGTGAGCTCAGAGGTTTCAAAGAGAAAACTGAGGGTTCAAAGCGTGCATGTTGTCCTTCTGAATCAGATTGATTGCTACTTTAATCCACTGCTTTGTGTGTTCATGGCATAATGGGAAGTAAGATTAGAGGTCATTGACTGATATCTTTCACAGGCTCCTTTTTTCAAAGTGAATAAATATTATATAATGTATATATTTTGTAATATAATTGTAAAAAACAAAATGTTTTAAATATTGTGTGGTCACATTGACACTTAAAATGTATCGTTTCATGCAAACGGCATAATCTATTAAATATGTAATTCTTGTAATATTTCATTTCTACATTATGTATTTCAATAAGGGTTAGTGTTGCTTTAAAGCCAGAGATAGTTTTCATAGGTAAGGTTGGTGAGGGAGAGAGAGAGAGTGAGAGAGTGAGAACTTCCCCACAAAGCACAGCTGCCATCTAGCGTTAGAAAGAGCCATCCAGTATGTGGCATAACAGATCCACTGAGTTTAATTGTGTTGATGTTTTTAATCCTTTTCTCAAAGTCTGTGCTCAAAATCAGCACAAATGAAAACGGCAAACCAAATAACCGCATTGATTCAAATTACATTTTGCTCAATAAGCAAGGTAAACCACATGGTGGTGAGAGCTTAAGTAGGTATTTAAGTAATAAAGACCTTTTATTTGTCACGACACGTGTTTTATAGACCTGAATATACAGAATATACACTATGCAAAACAGATCACATCAGCACAATCAAACATACTCACAATCTGAGAAGTGCCACTCTTACAAGTGGAGAGGTAAGAGTTGTTTAATCCGAGGTACCAGTACAGCATATACAAAGACAGCTAAAATGCAATGGGATGCATATAATAACAAACGCAGTCTTTGAAATCGAGTCATGCACATGTATAAAAATAAACCATTATAATAATACAAACCGCATTGTCTATATAAAAGGGTATTATCAAAGAAAACATGATGATTATGATAAAAAAAGAGCAATACCACAGACATTAACACAAATATCCACCGACATTTCTAAAATGTTTTTGTCAAATGCTAATTATGATCAAATTATGGATAAAAAATATTTACAGTGAACACAAATAAAAATACAGTAGCTCTGAATGTGTAAATAAAACACTAGCTCTTAAATCTGTATAATACTGATACAAAGGTATTAGTGTTGGCACTTTGAAAAACAGAACAGACATAATTTAAGTTGCTGTTTATCTGCCATGATAAAGGGGCACAATTACGGAGCCCCCCTAGTCCCACTTTGTCAAAAAAATTTATTATAACTATCTCGTGGCCTCAAGATAAGTAACTCGTGGCCTCAAGATAGTATCTCGTGGCCTCAAGATAGTATCTCTATCTTGAGGCCACGAGATACTATCTTGAGGCCACGAGTTACTATCTTGAGGCCACGAGATACTAACTTGAGGCCACGAGATACTATCTTGAGGCCACGAGATACTATCTTGAGGCCACGAGTTACTATTTTGAGGCCACGAGATACTATCTTGAGGCCACGAGATACTATCTTGAGGCCACGAGATACTATCTTGAGGCCACGAGTTAGTATCTTGAGGCCACGAGATACTATCTTGAGGCCACGAGATACTATCTTGAGGCCACGAGTTAGTATCTTGAGGCCACGAGTTAGTATCTTGAGGCCACGAGATACTATCTTGAGGCCACGAGTTACTATCTTGAGGCCCCGAGTTACTATCTTGAGGCCCCGAGTTACTATCTTGAGGCCACGAGATACTAACTTGAGGCCACAAGATACTATCTTGAGGCCACGAGATACTATCTTGAGGCCACGAGATACTATCTTGAGGCCACGAGATACTATCTTGAGGCCACGAGATACTATCTTGAGGCCACGAGTTAGTATCTTGAGGCCACGAGATACTATCTTGAGGCCACGAGATACTATCTTGAGGCCACGAGTTAGTATCTTGAGGCCACGAGTTAGTATCTTGAGGCCACGAGTTAGTATCTTGAGGCCACGAGATACTATCTTGAGGCCACGAGATACTATCTTGAGGCCACGAGATACTATCTTGAGGCCACGAGATACTATCTTGAGGCCACGAGTTACTATCTTGAGGCTACGAGATACTATCTTGAGGCCACGAGTTAGTATCTTGAGGCCACGAGTTACTATCTTGAGGCCACGAGATACTATCTTGAGGCCACGAGATACTATCTTGAGGCCACGAGTTAGTATCTTGAGGCCACGAGTTACTATCTTGAGGCCACGAGATACTATCTTGAGGCCACGAGATACTATCTTGAGGCCACGAGATACTATCTTGAGGCCACGAGTTACTATCTTGAGGCCACGAGATACTATCTTGAGGCCACGAGATACTATCTTGAGGCCACGAGATAGTATCTTGAGTCCACGAGTTACTATCTTGAGGCCACGAGATAGTTATAATAAATTTTTTGGACAAAGTGGGACTAGGGGGGCTCCGTACACAATAAATATTGGCACTGCTGAAAAAAATAATCAACACCCTAAAAAGTTTAATCTTTCAAAATAATGAGAATTACACTGTATGAATAAAGGCAACACGAAAGGCACAATGTGAATTTGTGCTTTATATGTTGACTGGTTAATGGTTTATGGTACAAATTTGATCAGACAGAGTATATTTGCTGGTTGTCTCAGAGCTCCACAGTCCGGAGATGTCCACGAGGAGAAACGCTGCCTAGGTTATGTAGAATACACTCTGAAGCCTCCACTACGCTTCCACAACATGACCAGTGGGGCTTACCGGGGTGTCCTTTATGACCATGTCCACAACCCTGAAACCCTCCTAAGTGCACACACACACATTCCCTTTAATGTGATTAAATACATATTATATTAAAACCATTTTTTGTGCTACAGTACCTGGCATGGTCCCTGTGCAGCCACAGCGTGCCTCTTTAGCGCCCCCACTAGAGCAGAAGGAGCAGCAATGGAATACGCCACAGTGACGTCTGAACTTCCTCTTCACATTTAGCACGAAAGGTGATCCCTGGAAAACACAGATTGTTGGAATGTCAGTCCCAGCATCACTGATATTCCTTCAAACTGGCCAATAATGTTGTTGTTATTATTAGACACGTGTTTTGGTTTAACTGCACAATTACCTGGACGTGCTGTGCTTTCACACAGACCCACACAGAGTAAAGACCTGCTTCAGCAGGGGTGTAGGACACACCATAGGAGCCATCACTGTTATCCACCACACACACCTCCACAGAGCTGTAATGCCACAGAGGGGAAAAGAGGAGTCACAGTCTGAGGTGAGAAAAAATGATGAGGACATTGAAGATCTTAATGGAGAACTTTTATTGCAGTGTAGCAGTGACATTCTGTCAGAATGAACCCCAAACATCCTAAATTCAAGTCCCGTTACAGTTTACCACCCCTAATGTAAATGAAGTTGCTCCTTTTGTACGAAGTTAGACACCCTATTGTCAAAGATGGTTCTTAGGGTCCCTCACTTGCTCCCATTCTACAATTGAATGGATTCTACATTTGCTCAGGATTTCATCCACTCAAATCGTAATGAAACTGATGACTTTGTTCTACTTCTATATGGTAATTAAAGGAGAACTCCGGCGCAAAATGAACCTTAGGTCTAATAAAGTCATTGGTACCATGCTTCGTTTTGCATGTAGGGACCCTCATTATGTTACTGTGTTCGTGTGGGGCTATTTTTGAGCCTTGTTAGTGGTATAAACTAGCGATTTCTTTTTACTTATTATATGCCCCCATTACTAGCGTTATACGCTAAACAGTTTTTAGAGATAAAACTCTTTACATTCGATTATCATGAAAACAAATCTCAGAGAACGATTGACTAGGTACCAATGTTTTATTAGACCAAAGGTTCATTTTGCGCCGGAGTTCTCCTTTAAACCATTTTGGGAAATGAGCACGTTCAACCGAACCACCTATCTTGGAGTGGAATCTGGGTCCAGGCAGTCTGTCATTTCTTACACTAAATAATGCAACGATTTGATCTCAGATGCTGATAATGTGCAGTATTCTAACTGAAATTTCTTATTTTATCCTTTATTTGCCTGCAAGCTTTGTTATTGTGAATTTTAAAACACATTCAGTTTATTATTACTATTACAGAAATCTCATTCTTGTTTCATTTATTTCAAGTTCATTACTTAGTTTAAGGTAATCCTGTGTAATCCAAACGTATGAAAATATAATATGCAATTAAAATACTTTAATTCAGGCCTAAATATCAAGTCATAAAAACTGAAATATTATAAAGTAATAAAAAGCATTCAGGCATTCATGAACAAGCAAATTCTCAGGAAAAATGCTAAACATTTTTTTTTTTCATTTGATAAAATGGCATGTGCATTGATGGTTATAAGAGTAGAATCTGTAAGCATTGGCAAATATGCTTCAGCCGTTAAGACTTAAGTGACTCTACTGTTATTTTTAAAAATGTGGTGGTCTTAATTTTCCCTGTGTGCTCACCAGTCCTTCCTGTCCTTGTGCACCATGCTGACCATCACAGGGTCTCCACCTCGGCCCATCTGCTCTCCAGAGGAGTCCCTGCAAACCAGAGTGAACTCGTCCCGCTGGCCTTCACGACCTCGCTCCACACCTAGGAGTTATTCACACACAAGGACAGACACATGTGAGTGGACACAGGCTATGCAGCGGAAGGAGTGACGTACATCTGAGTGAAACAAATAGTCGAAAAGAAAAACTGGCTGTTAATTGGATGAAGGCAGATCTGAATGCGAGCTTGCATTGGATTGCGTGAAAGGGCCGGGATTTAAGCCATAAATGATAGGATAAGTCTGTCATTCCATCGGAAGATCAATTATGATTTTTTGATTAAGAATTACAAGGTAAAAAACAACAACCATGAACTGTATAAAAAAAAAAGAGAGATTAATTTAGAAAATATATTGGGTACATTTTCATTCCATTCCAACTTTAGGGAAGACATAACTCTAAAACTTTTAGAAAACAACTGAATTAGATTTATAATGGGTTTTTTTTTCTCTGCGTGTCGCTGTGTGAATGAACGGCGCGGTTTCGAGCTTTTCACCGTTTCATTTGAGAAAAAAAACTACTGTCAAATACACACTGTCTGAAACTGAAACTAAAACTGAAAGATCTTCGCAACAAACCGTCAAAATAAAAGTTTGGTTTAACTTCAAGAAATTATGACAGAAATATAGGCTCTAACTGCATACTTAAGTGTACTTCTTAAAGTAATAATAATAATATAATTATTTCTAAGGAATATCATAAAACCCAAGACATTTATTCATCCATGTTTTAAATGTATACAGTTCTGTTGTGCAGAATCTTATTTGACAAAAATAATGCAATGTTTGTTATAAATTCATTGTTATATTTTCATTTGATTAAAAGCTTCATGTAATTGTTGAGGTTGATTAGTATTAAATCATAGTAAAAATAAATAAACTGAATTTAGGGAAAAATAAAATGGATTTAATGGGGCCCTAAATTAAAAGGTAGCTACCCTTTAATTGTGAAAAAACACATATTCTTTCTCAAGTTCTAACAAATATGTGGAAAGCATTTCATTAATGGTAAATGAATATTGTGATAAATATCAATATCAAAATACAGGCAAGCAGCAGTATATTGTCCTCCTGAGGTGAACCTGCATGTGGCATGCTGGGACAGAGCTGGAAAAGTGACCCTTTTACACTCCAAGAGCACCAGACCAGTACATAAAAAGGTTGAGTTGTTGTCATAGTAGCCAGGAATGTTGTCTGCTATTTATCCCAGTGTCATGCCCTAGGCCTTTTGTTGTGTGCACTTGTGTATGTATCTGTGTGTGGAACAAATGTGGATCTAAAGTCTCTCTTTCAGACTTCAGATCTTGTCGCACAGAAAACTTCAAATATACAATTTCATCTGAACTAGTTTCTGAGGAATGTGCACTGAACCGTCATGTGTTTGACAAAGAGCTTAAGATTCCACAGTAAAGTCACGAAACCAAACTCTACTACAGCATGTTACTACAGTTTCATGAGTAACCGCGTCATTCATGATTCAAAACGGACTAATGACCCAATTCAGGTGGAGAGGAGCTCATAAAAGTACAGTTTTATATTAGTTTTCACTTTAAAAGAAGCAGTTAACGAAAATATTAAAATTCTGTCATCTATTTACTCACCCTCATTTCATTTCAAACCTTTATGACATTCTTCTGTGGAACATACATTTTTGAAAAATATTTCAATGAATAATAATAATAATATAATGAAAGATAAAAGGAAATGGCACTCTCAAGCTCCAAAATCCCCCCCCCCCATAATTTAGTCTTTTAAAGCCAAATGATAGCTTGTGTGAGAAAAATACCAAAATTTGAATCATTATTCAATGAAAATCTTGACATCTTCCCTAGATCTCCTTAGCCATGTCTGATTTGTGAATGACTTTTCAATTACTTTTCAACAAATGATTCAATTTATGATTTTTTCATAAATCAGACTTACCCGTTCAACCTACCTACTGACTATATTCTAGTTGCAGAAGTTAAATTTTATTTTCAACCAGTTCATCACACTTTCATATGGTTTTAATGTACTTTAATGGTGCTTGTGTGTCATTTCTGAAGCTTGAAAGTATCAGTTCTCATACCTTGTATGGAATTCCAATTGCATGGAAAGAGCGATCAGAACAGTGCAAAATTTCTCTGGTGCTTCTTTGATTAAAGAAAGTCCTAAAAGTTTGGAATAACATCAACAACTGATAATTTCCAGGTGGAAATTTCATTAACAGGTGAACTATTCCTTTAAGGCTGAGGTCTTCCTCTATGTCAGCGGTTTTAAATCTCCTACACCACATCCTAACCATGCGATATGATTCCAGCGACAAGCACTTTGTCTCTCCACACCAGGGCTGCGTTTAAGGCCACTTTTTTATGCCCTTCCCCCACTAACTTCTCTCTGTCTCGTTCACTCAGACGTATGTCATTGCTTACGTTGCACAAATGCCCACTACTGGCGGAACCCTGGCAATGTGTTTAAATGGAAAGCCCTAAGCCCTTGACCACTTGGAATCTACTATAGAGCCTGCCGTGCGAATTACTGTTGAGACGTCACAATAGACGTGTTGCATTGTGGCCAAAGGATCTGCCTAAACTAAGCATACATACGAGTAAAATCGAAGGTTCGAGGGTCTGTCCAAATAAACTTCCCTCGTCCACCTGACGAAGCTGAACGCATTTCAAAATGGTGGTGGGGATTCCCCTGAGAGGAAGTGCTTAGGGAAGTTTGCGAGCGTATGTCTAAAAGTGGAGTTAAACGCAGCCCAGACCTACTCTCACCTTCTCCCTGGATAGTGCACTTGCTGGGATCCAAAGTCTTAGCATGTACAACTCCAACCACAGGAAATCCCTCAATCTCCCCAGCACTCTCCTGAGGAAGAAAACAGATGCTGCTGGCATTATCGTGGGCGATCGTCGTTGGGTGTGGGTCGTATCCTGACTCTACAAGGTTCATCAATCTCCTCATAGTAACTCCTTTGGCACTGAGGATTTCGGCGTCTGAACCGCACATGAGCAGGCGTTCTGCAAAGTCCACTCCACCACGGACGTCAGACAAGGCTTGCTGCAGTTGAGCCTTCTGCAGATGGAGTTGGTTCCTTCGCTGCATTTTCAAGTCCTCCAGTGACCGCAGCAGCGAACAGCAATGTGCCTCCACAGCGTTGGCATAACTCCGAGCAAACGCCCGAATCTCACCCGCCAACGTGTCAGTCCTTGCCCGCAAAGCCTCTTGGGATGTGTCCACGCATCTCATTGAATCCTCCAGACGAGCAAGACGAGGCCTCAAGCTCCTGACGACCAAACCCCTGATGCGATCTCCATGGCGACTGATGACCTCATGGGCAGAGCTGCAGTGGTGGTCACGGTGAAAGGTGGCCGCACACTCCAGGCACACAGTGAGGTCACATGGCTCGCAGAAGAGCCGTAACTCCTGACCAGGATGCAGCGAGCACAGGACGGGTCTAGTGAGACGACCCTGGGATTTCAACTCCTGTAGGCTTTGGATAGAGTGAGAGGAGGTCCTCTTCTGTCTCCTGCAGGGAAGATACACATTACAGGACTTAGTTTGCATTCAAGTCATGATGGAAAGATTGTATTTATGAGTTGAATGCTCATGAACGCCACCACAAATTTGTAATTTCGAGGGAAAATCCCTGGAATTTCTTTAAGCCCAGAGTTTTGGTGCATTTCAGAGAGAAAACATGGTGGAATCAAAGAATCAGGCAAAAATGAAATGATTGATTTTTTTTTTCTCCTCATTTACAATAAACCTAGCTAAGTTGCATAAATGTACAATAGTGTACAAAATACAGTAGTATTGAACAGTTATGATAGAATATATATACCATGATTAATCAATTTATTCATGGTTACAATTTGTGGTTGCTGAATAAATGCACTTACTCTGTGCTACAATACAAAGTCTTTTTTAGTTGTTTTAATAGAAACATTAACAAAATATATAATTATTGTTAATAATTAATATTAGGAATTTCAGTTTGATTTAGTTTATTTCAAAAAACAAAGAAAAACACATGATGTGCATTCTTCTAGGGCTGGACCCGAATATTCGAATATTCGTTCAGTGGGTTGGTATCGATTTAAAAATTTGACATTCGAATAAAAAGTTCTTGCTTTATTTTTTTTAAGAAAACGTGCATCGTCATCTTGATCCGACCATATTCATTTGAAAGCACCTGGCATTATAATTATGACTTACCAATTTGTGTAAACAAACTTCACAAGAGAACTTGAACGCACCATTTTGCAATGGGTGTTTAAATGATGAAGCAGAGAATGCATTAGGGGGGTGTTCAGTTCACACAGGACACATCTTTGGGACAGCCATTTTTGACCATTCAAGGTGTAATGTTACATCTGAATAACCATAGGTCTTGACCTTTGACCCTTACCCAAAAGTCTAATCTGGTCATCCTCTTTAAATTTTCTGAAATCACATACTCTATGAATAGGCAATTCTTCTGAATATGTACATATAGTATTTATGTAGTTTAAATGTAATCTGGATTCATTATTATGTGACTAGTGTCTGTTACTCCTATCCCGTTGCCTCATGGGATATTAAAATGTTCATCAGATGCACACTCTAGAATTTATATCTCGCAATGCTGGCTTATTTCTGTGGCGGAAACATGCTTCCATAGAATTCAGACATAGCCTCCGACTCGTATCACGAACTGGTTTTCACCTAACGTTAGCCTACTGTAGAGAAGTAAGTTAGGCATATTCGTGTCGGCAGCTATTGTGTATTTTATTTATAAAAACATGTTCATAGCTGAAGTGGTGAAGCACAACCTCTGTAATATTTATTAATATACAGTAGACCGACATATCACGCTGTCAAAATACACCACTTAAAAAAAAAGTATTTAAAAAATAATGATTGTAGGCCTACTCAATATTATATTTAGAAAGCTTTATATATTTTATATTTTGAGAAACATTGAAGTGTTTTTTTGTTCATACAATGGAAGTCAATGATAACCAAAATTGTTTGGCTCTCAATATTTTGAAGAAACAAAGTAATACAGGTTGGAACGACCTGAGGGTGAGTGTAAATGAAGACTATTTTAATTTTTTAATTTAATCTCCATTTGAGTTCAAAGAATAAAGTCATTATGAAACGACATGAGGGTGAATTTATATTTCTTCTCAGTCCGTGTCGTGATAAACTAACCTGTGGGCCTGACTGCAGAAGTCGCATAGGTTGACACAGCACACCTCACAGCGCTTCCCCGCGTTACTGTCGCTGCACAAGTCGCACAAAACGCTGCTGTCCACTAGCAGTGTCTCCGTGAAAACCTCGTCCAGCGCGAGATGATCAGTGGTCAGCCCATCCACACCCGATGGCGGCAGATTCACCTCTGAATCGCACTCAGGACACAGGATCGTGGAGCCAGAGTTGTGCCCGTGCGTGTCATCTTCAGGCGAGCGTCGTTCCCCGTTCACGCGACGCACAGAAAACGGCTCGAGCTGGCGAACGCAGTCCGCACAGAAAGTGTGCAAGCAAGGCAGGATTTTAGGGTCTCGATACATCCGATTACAAACACCACAGACCGCTCTGGACTTCTTTCCCGAGTCCCCATTGCTTTCACTCAAGACTGTTTCTCGCTTTTCTTCTTGAACTAATCGCTCTTTGCAAAGTGACATCGTAGTTGTTATTTTTATGAGGGTTTTATTATAATTCGCGCTTATTCAAAAACAAATTATGACGCGACAGCAGTAGCCTGGTTTGGTAGTATTTACAAAAAAAATGCAACTCAGACCAAACTTTCTGAGAGTTAACTTTTTTTCGCTCATGTTATTTGAGAACGTGCCTCGCCATCCAATCATGTTATGCGTTCACATTTGGGGGCGTGGCCTGAAATCTGACCTATTCTAGCCAGTCCCCATCTTCTGGCTAGACAGATCAAACCACACCACTCACAGGTCAAGATTTGCAGTTCATGCTTTATGTCCTGCTGAAATGTAATTAATTCCTTTACAAAATACCTTTAATTAATCCATTTGCAAAAGTTCCTTTAAATATTGGCTTTTTTATAATAAACCATGGAGACTATATTTGTAATAGCCTAATAACAATGTACAATGTAATAGAAGTGTTTTTGGATGTAGGTTTGACAATGTCATTGTATTGGTTATAGTCAGCAATTAAATAGCAAAGGTCAGCCACACCGCCATGGTCTCCTGAACTGCCGCCTTCACTGTGGCCGCCCGAAGGGTCGTCTCCGCCCTGGCCGCATGCACAGCCTGCTCTGCCCCGGTAGCCTGCACAACCTGGTCCGCCCACGCTCCACGCATGGCCCAGGCCCGCCATGGCAATGTCCTGGTCCCGTTCCCCTGTACGGGCCTGGCCCTCCATCCCTCCCCCGGGACCGCCTCCGCTTCACCACCCTCCTGAACTATTGTGGTCTTGATGGGCGTCGGGAGCCACCCATAGGGGAGGGGCTGTCACGGTGTGGGTTTTGTGTCTTGTTCCTTGTTCTTGTCTGTCATGTGATTCCCTGTTTGTCATCTGGTCCTGCCATGTGTCTTGTCATTTGTTAATTGTCTGATCATTGTTCACAGGTGTTCCTTGTCTTGTAATTAGTCAGTGTATTTAAGCCCTCTTGTTTGCCTTGTGTCTTTGTCGTGCATTGAATGTTTCTTGTCCAGGTTGCCCGTCGTTGTTTCAGTTTCTGTTTCATGCCTTGCCATGCCTTTGTTTTGTGTTTTGATTTAGTTATATAATTAAAGTTTGCATTTGGGTCCTTACAGCTTGCCTCCAGCCATTCATTACAGTGACCTTTTTGTAAATTGTACCTTTTTATCATGAATTAATTTATAGGCATGTTTATTGTGGTAATATGAAATAATAAAAGAGATAGTGATACAATGTCTCAAATAAGAAAAAATAAGTGTAATGAAAATCCTTTATTGGTAATACAAACATTTTTCCAAGAACAGTTTAAGGTAATATGTGAACAAAGGTATAATAAATATCACATGTTTGCAGATTAGCTGACATTTTGTCAATAACAATGTTTCATATGAAATAATTCATTGGATATATCATGTGAAACATGAATTTGGATTTAGATTATATACACTCACCGGCCACTTTATTAGGTACACCTGTCCAACTGCTCGTTAACACTTAATTTCTAAGCAGCCAATCACATGGCGGCAACTCAGTGCATTTAGGCATGTAGACATGGTCAAGACAATCTCCTGCAGTTCAAACCGAGCATCAGTATGGGGAAGAAAGTTGATTTGAGTGACTTTGAACGTGGCATGATTGTTGGTGCCAGAAGGGCTGGTCTGAGTATTTCAGAAACTGCTAATCTACTGGGATTTTCACGCACAACCATCTCTAGGGTTTACAGAGAATGGTCCGAAAAAGAAAAAACATCCAGTGAGCGGCAGTTCTGTGGGCGGAAATGCCTTGTTGATGCCAGAGGTCAGAGGAGAATGGCCAGACTGGTTCGAGCTGATAGAAGTGCAACAGTGACTGAAATAACCACTCGTTACAACCGAGGTATGCAGCAAAGCATTTGTGAAGCCACAACACGCACAACCTTGAGGCGGATGGGCTACAACAGCAGAAGACTCCACCGGGTACCACTCATCTCCACTACAAATAGGAAAAAGAGGCAACAATTTGCAAGAGCTCACCAAAATTGAACAGTTGAAGACTAGAAAAATGTTGCCTGGTCTGATGAGTCTCGATTTCTGTTGAGACATTCAGATGTTAGAGTCAGAATTTGGCGTAAACAGAATAAGAACATGGCACCATCATGCCTTGTTACCACTGTGCAGGCTGGTGGTGGTGGTGTAATGGTGTGGGGGATGTTTTCCTGGCACACTTTAGGCCCCTTAGTGCCAATTGGGCATCGTTTAAATGCCACGGCCTACCTGAGCATTGTTTCTGACCATGTCCATCCCTTTATGGCCACCATGTACCCATCCTCTGATGGCTACTTCCACCATGTCACAAAGCTCTAATCATTTCAAATTGGTTTCTTGAACATGACAATGAGTTCACTGTACTAAAATGGCCTCCACAGTCACCAGATCTCAACCCAATAGAGCATCTTTGGGATGTGGTGGAACGGGAGATTCGCATCATGGATGTGCAGCCGACAAATCTGCGGCAACTGTGTGATGCCATCATGTCAATATGGACCAAACTCCCTGAGGAATGCTTCCAGCACCTTGTTGAATCTATGCCACGAAGAATTGAGGCAGTTCTGAAGGCAAAGGGGGGTCCAACCCGTTACTAGCATGGGGTACCTAATAAAGTGGCCGGTGAGTGTATGTCCATTGCAGGTTTCAACAAAATCTCATGTACAATTTTTTTTTTTTTAAATACAGTTTGTCTTTTTATTGGGAATTGTCATTATGGTTCAGGATGTATGGTTAATAGATTGCATTTTTGTATGTACTGTCAGCAACCAACCTGAGAAAACATCAGTCAACCACTGGAGATACTTGTCTGGGTTACAGAGAGAATAAGGATGACTGTGAACAGAAGTTGTAAGGATGACACTTTTGTAGATGCAGCACTGAAAATGAAGTGTGTCTTGTCTGTCACACTGTTTGCTGAAGAAGAAGAATCATAAAGAAATAGCAATGTTGACTTTAAAAAAGAAACTCTCATCAACATGATCAACATGATCAACATGCTGCACGTGTCATGCTATTTAATGAGTGACATACATTTTGTTTGTCCATTCTGTCCAGAAAGTTGTTTTAACAAATTTGATTTGATATGCAATGCTCTGTGTAAATATGGGTGAGCCCTTCTTAACAACTAGTCTTTACATTTTTGTTTCGTCAATATCTACGGTTTTACCTGTTACAGTTGCCTCTGAGATAGCTTTCACAAGAGCGTTCTCAATAAAACAGGTGTAGATGTCATCCACTTTTACTTGTGTTTCGAGGACACTAGTAACTCGCATGATTCCAGCGTTGTTGTTGGTGAAATTGGTGCTGCTGTTTAAAAGCTGCCCACTCTGACTCATCCAGCTAACCTCTGGTTTGGGAAACCATCTATGAGCCTCAGCAAATAGAGTGCCATTTCCCCATCGAGTAAATGTGGGAGCTGTGAAAGCTGCAAAGAAACAGATATGAGCAGATCAGATATATATCTATAATGAAATAAATATCATTTGATGTACAGTGTAAAGATTATTGAAGTATGCTTTACAAGAAAATACTATAAGCCTTTCTACTTCAAAATTTCATTTTTTATTCAATGTTACTTTGTGATTAATTGTGAAATTTACTAGCAATTTCCAGTGCATTCAAAGATAGTCAGATTGATTCAGTCATTTTAAATAATAATTTTGTTAATCTCTGAGCACACAACAGTTTAGTTCCTATGAATCAGTTTAGAACAAATCATTTAAGTGGATCGCGATTCTGAAGTCTGCATACGATGGAAACTGTACTATCCCATGAGACCACCGGAGAGGATTTATGAATGACAGTGAAGCGACGTAACTGACATAAGGTCATATGATAATGACACCATGGCTGATGTAGTAGCCTACGCCCCGATTACATTACTACACTTGTATAGAACATACTTTTGAGCGGTCGTGAAGTAATTACTTGTTCAAAATAAGTACCTACTCAAGAAAGTATACGATTTCGGATGCAGCCAGAAACTAGTTTGGATTTCAGTGAATCAGGGTTTTTAAACAAATCATATGAGAGAATGATTCAGTGACTCGCTCATAAAGAGACTCACTTGTTGTCACCCTTGTGGATCTATAAAGCAGAAATAAGATATGTGGGTTTAAACATTCATTTACTTTGAAATAAATGAATAAAGAATGCATTTACCAGCCACTCTAAGGTTAACACTGGTAGTCCCTGAGACTTTTGGTGCATTGACAGTGACGCGATACACACCCTCATCCTCCATCTTCACATTTCTCAGCAGAAGGGAGGCGTTGCCAGTTGATATAGCATCTGAGAACAGTTGGGCCCTGTTTTTGAACTGTTTGTTCTGCCCCTGGAGCTGGGCTGCTTTGTTTTTGTATTCATAGACCACACCACTCACAGCATCTTTTAGCCAAGTAATTGACACATCACTCAATTGCTCATTGCCACTGTTGCTAAGAAACCTGCAATCCAGGACCACATCCTCCTCAAGATTCCCCACAGTAGAGGGACTGCTGCTCTCAACGGTACCCTGGGACACTTCAAAATCAAACATACACACAGACGTTTAGTTTATACATCAAAAGCCAAACGCACTACTAAAAGTTGTACAAACTATGCAAACTGTTAGAGTTAAATGAATATTTTTCTAACCTGAAAATGCAATAGCCAAAATGAAAATGATGAGTCCAGAAATGACTACTATCAGAACAATCATACTGCAAAAGACATACATTTGATGAAAAACATTCAGTATTGACTAATTAATCTTCAACCTGAAATTGTTTGAAAAAGTTGCCCATTCTTCTACCTTGCAAAGATTATTTGTCCAATTGAAGCCATTCTGGTAATCTGTTCCTACTTTCAAGCAGTATCTTTGATGAATCGATGTTCCACTCTGTTCACCATCTCTGTCGATGGCAGAATAAATCAACAGGCTAAGATGGACGAGCACTTCCTAATCCCCAGACTAGTTTCAAACTGTACTTCCACTGAAAGAGATCAGCACCTCCTCCCTCTGTCAATATTACCTCTGAGAGGAGTGTCCTGACACACTTGATAACACACAGCTTGACAAGAGGAGTGTGATCATGACACGAAATACAAAGAGTTGCAAATGGTCAGAAGTCAGACTGGCTAAACCAGGGGTGTCCAAACTCAGTCCAGGGCCACTGTCCTGCAGAGTTTAGCTTGCCTCAACACACCTGCCTGGATGTTTCATCCTTTAGCTTCCTTGAGCCACCTTATAGACAATGTTGTTTCAAGTAATGACTCAGATTATAAGAGTCAAAGTCACACAATTGCAAGAGCACATAGAACAAGAGCCAGGAATGCGATTTAAACTTAGCGAGACAGAAAGCAATAGGGCCCAGAAACCCCACTGACGGCCCTTAGGTCTGTGCACATTCAGTTCTGTTTCATTGAGCTCCGTCTTGCTGTCTGCAAGAATGTGTCGTTTGAGATCAGAAACACAGTTAAAGGGACAAAATCCATTAGATTACTTCAGGTCCTTTAACTTGTGTTTAGTAACCATTAATTGTGTAAGTCAAATCTTCTGTTCTTTCAGTGTTCACTTGTTCACTTTTTTCTATCCCTGCACTTAAAGTAGCCTATCAATTACACTAATCTTTAAATAGCCATGAACCGTAGTTGCAGTATATTAGCTTACAATAATCCGATTTTTACAGTTTACTTACTGCATGTTTCCGCTACAGAATGAACAATAAAACCGGGTAATTGTGACTTTTTATCTCACAATCCTGATGTTTTTTGAATTTCAAAATTCGGGGAAAAGAGTTATAAACTTGCAATCGAAAGAAAAAAAGTCTGAATTTTGAGATATAAATTCGCAATTGCGACAAAAAAACCCCTCAGAAAACTCGCTTTTTTATGAAATCTTATACCAACTGGGAAACTGTAATGCTGGCACAGAGCTGGGTGAAACCAGTATCACTTCTAGAGTACCAACAGTTATTTAGTTTGTTGTTATGTAACTCATAGGACTAAACAATATGTTGCTTCAGTAAAACATATTTGGAGAGATTTTACTAGACCTAAACATTTTCAGAAAACGTAACCCATTTAAATGACAGTGAAGTGATTGAATTGAGTTGGTTGGACATTTGTATTTTACAGATACTTTACAGATACTCAGTCGTGTTGTCACAACACAAGGATTTTGTTTTCATTAAAAATAAACCTTTAATTAAAACTAAGTTGGTTGTGTACTGTCCATAATTGAACTTTTGTTGAGTGTAAAACGCATGTGGAAAAAACATATTTTGCAATTGTGGTATTGGAACCCAGACATCAGGTGACGCTTTACTGTCTTACTTCACTTTTCACAAAAATGTACAGAGAAGCCTGAAACTAGTGGCTGGCTCTCATATGTGACTGGTATTATAAAGAGTTCAGGTTATTATGATGAAGTCAATCCTGATGTGAAGGTATAACAAATATTACTTCAAAATGAAAGGGAGATTGTGTATACTGTATAGTGAAGCCAGTGATGTTCTGTTTTTTTTTTTTTTTTTTTTTTTACTATTGTGTAACATCACATTGAAATTTGTGAAAGGATGTATAAAGGACCATGAAATTATTTATATAAAATAGCACGAGATCCAGATTTTACACAAAATACTAGTGACTTATTTTTTTATTTGGGCAACAAAAAGTTCACGGAGTTGCATAATCAACATATCATGAGCTAGATGAAATCCCTCAAACCCTCATATTGAAACCTTAACACACTGCATTTTTTAAAAATAGCCCACATTCTCACATTGAAATGCCACTTTCAATCTTCCAAAGGGGAACATATATTGATTTTGTGGTAAAAGCAGACTGTTCAAAAATGTCATGAGAAAGTAATGTAGTAGGCTAATGCAGACTTGACTTATACAGGTGCCCGTAAGGACTCCATCAAGACTTGAGGAGAGAGGAAAATTTGTCTTGAGCCTCTGTGTCGGAGCTTCAGCTGATCAATATGCCGCATTTTATCTCTGACATTCCAGACAAACTGCGTGTGATGCTGTCAGAGGCTGCGAATATATTTCTAGTTATTGTTATGATTTACATTTTTCAGTACATCTTTAATTCTCAATTTTCATGCTCCTGCACAGAAGAGTTTCATGGTATTGTGGTCATTTACATTGTGCTCGTTCCTATAATATTGTTTATTATTTTAAAACTAATTAAACAACCCAGAACAAAGGTTTGTGGGGCCGTTTGCTGCGGTTTTTGGACTCAAATCTTCCAGCTTTTTGGGATCGGTCTGTTCTGGGGGGGGGGGGTTCATCCTTTTAGACGGAGACTTGTATCTCTGTATGGTAACCAAACCTAATGACACAGAGCGTGAACTTCCATGCAAGAAGAATCTCACTCTTGAAGAATTGAGCATTATTACAATCCACAAAAACATGTCACAGGTAAGTACTCTAATTAGAACAATTCAATTATATTTAGTCACCTTGTATTTAAAAATTTAGGAGTTAGATTTCTTCTAAATGTGGGTGTAATTTAATTGATTTGTTATACTGTAAGAAAGAAAAACAGAAAAGGTAGGCTACTGGCAATTTCCTGCCAGGACATTATCCATTATAAGTTTACAGACATTTCTTTTAATATTTAAACACAACACAATGCAATGCATAATTCAAAAAACGGGTATAACCTGTGAAAATACTGAACATTCGATTTCAACATTGGTTAAAATCATCCTTCATTGATTTAGTTGTTCATTGTGGTTTTATTGTTCTTTCTTGTGCAGTTGTGTGGTTACTTCAGCATAGCTGTTGGTTTCATGGGATGGTGGCTGATATCAAACACCAAGGTTGGGATCTGTTGTGACAGATGTTCTTGTCAGTGTTTCAAGGACTGCTGCGAAAGAAAAACGTACTACGAGAGGCGGTATGAGGAGCTCCTGTCTGTGGAAACAGATAAATACTTGGATGAAAAATTGCACGAAATTGGCAAAAAGAGAGCAGAAGGGATATGTTCAAAGCACATTCTTCATATCGAAAAGAGCGAGTTTAGCAAAAATAGAACCACACAAATGTCTGAAGATGCTAGGAACGCTTGGTGTGAAATATCTCGCCCAGATTTTTATACATCAGACCTTTCTGATAATCAAAAGCCAACCCTTTCTATTAAAGAATCCTATATCTTGGATATTTTCGGTTTCTGTCCGACCAGAAGTGAGAGGTGACAGTGACTAAAGGCAAGGGCGCGGATGCCGAATAATTGCTAGTAAATACAAATGGCTGTACAAAGGAATTCCTAGATTATGATTGCAAAGATTGATTGTATATTCTGTTCTGTATTGCCAAAAAAAGTACATCAGGATTTCTGGTATGGAGCACCAGGGTGTGTGAATGCTTACACAGAATATGAGACATTCTATGACTGTGTGTGCAGCTCCATGAGACACTGCTCAACAACAGTAGCTATGTGTATATCTCGTTTTCTGTGCATCATTAAAAATAATCAAGTTAAATTATTAGTTTCTAACTTTCTATTACATTCATACCTCAAATCCAAACCCAAGTGCAGTGCTAATTTTGACACAACTTTTGTACATTTTTGTCTTTTGACTATAATGCACTTTAGTCATATTTTATTATTACTCCTGGAGAAAACATCTATTAACCTGTTAATATGAATGATATTAAGGTTTGAAAATGCAATTCACAGAGATTTAACTGCTGAGCCTGTGACATATATCATGCGTCTTTATTTATCTTAAAATGAAATAAAACCACTTCTCATAAAGAAAGAATGGTCTTCTTTTTAATTAATGATGCATTCCTTATAACAACTTGCATACAACATTCTTCATCCAGACATAGACAGTTGTGCTCAAAAGTTTACACACTTTGCAGAATCTGCAAGAATTTTAATCATTTTAACTAAGAGGGATCGTAAAAATGCATGTTATTTTTGAGTTAGTATTGTCCTGAATAAGATATTTTACAAAAGATGTTTACATATAGTCCACAAGATTTTGTTGTTGTTGCTGAATTCATAAAAATGACCCAGTTCAAAAGTTTACATATTGATTCTTAATCCTGTGTGTCATTACTGATCCACGACTGTTTTTTGTTTTGTTTTGAGATGGTTGTTATTGAGTCCCTTGTTTGTCCTGAGCAGTTAAACTGCCCAATGTTCTTCAGAAAAATCTTTCAGGTCCTGCAAATTCTTCAGTTTTCCATCATCTTTTGCATATTTGAACCCTTTCCAGCAGTGACTGTATTTTGAGATCCATCTTTTGTTACTCTCAGGACAACTGATTAAAAAAGGTCCCTCTTATTTTGTTAAAATCATTTGCAGATTCTGCAAATTTTGAGCAAAATGGTATATTTGTATAAGTTAAATATAGATTCACGAGTTCACACTTGCATCAATTAAACAGAGTAAAGATTATGCGTATTTGGCGTGCTGTCCGGGGGGAGGGCTCCGAGCTCGGAATTTTTACTCGAACCCAGAGTACTCCCCCCGTTGTTGTAAGAGTATTAGGACTAGAAGTGAGGAGATGGGGTAGTGGAGGGATGCTGTTAAACTGTCAACGAACGGAGGTAAGTTTGCTGTATATATACACCGCTTAACTCGTTGATTGGGTTGATTAACAAAGTGTGCTCCACTCGTGTCTAATTAGGTTTGATTATCTGAATGTGCTCCACATGTGTTAGGTTTAATTATCTGAATGTGCTCCTCCCGAACTTTGTTAATAAAACATCATTTAATCCTTATTAAAGCTATTAAAGTTATTCAGTCAAGAGCATTGAGTGATTTTCTTTTTCTTTAGTTTTTTTGATTAACATTAATGACAGACAGCAGCAGCAAGTTTATTAGACTGCTGTCACTTTAAGGCCGAATGCACGGATCCAATACACATCCTCCCAACTACGTTCCCTCAACTGTGATTACGTGAATATTGGCCAAAGCTGACAGTTTGACAAATTCATTGCATGTATTTGTCTGGTCAAGCGTGAAAAGACACGAAAGAGAGCTCAATTGAGTTGTGCGCTGACGTCTGATATAGGCGGCTTTCTGTGCGCGCACTAAGAAAACGGACTGAATTGAGCTCTTTCGCATGGTCACGCTTTTTCAGATTTATCCACGTCTGCTCTTCTCTTTCTCCCAGACATTTACATTTTTGAAAGTTTTATGAGACATGCAGCAAGTGCATACCAACTTATGCCCCGCTGGGGGGACATATATATATATATATATATATATATAAAACATCAAACCAAATGTAATTTATCTTAAAGATAGCATAACCACACTTTTCAAGCAAATAATTTCAAATGAACAGTGCACCATGTTTGACATAGTGTGTAATTATGTAATGAACTTTGTTCTGATAGGAGCAAATTTACTTCATACATCCACTAAAAATCACTTTGAGACCAGCATTTATTGGCAAATGACACTTGGTTTTACATGTTCTATCCAATGCAAAAAAATTCAGACATTTTAAGTGTGACACAATTGTCCAAATATATTGTTGAGACCACTTTAAAGCTATAACAGTACATTTGTTTTTCAATATTAAAGGGATAGTTCACCCAAAAATCAGCGAATTTAAACAGAAGCTCAACCATGCTTGACATGCAAGAATCAACCTTATTGATTCTTGTGGAAGTTCAAACATGCGGGCGTATCACGAGAGAATGAACTTCACTGATTTTTGGGAGCCAAGCAAGCATGCTTGAGCTTCTATGGCCAAATCTGAATGTAAATAGCGAACGTGTCTCTTCAGAAGACATATTAGCCGCTCAATTCATATGGATTTATTTTACAATCTTTTTATGAACATTTAGACTTGGAGGGAATGGAGGGACAGAAATCTCTCAGATTTCATGAAAATTTTTGATGGTCCCTTTTGAACATTCTACTGACTGTAAGTAACTTTGCAACTACATGTCAACTAACTCTCATTAGAGTATTAGTAGACTGTCTGCTTAATATCTGCTAACTCTTTATTGTGATGCTCCTCCAACAGACATTCTACTGACTATAAGTAACTTTGCAACTACATGTCAACTTATTCTATCCCTAACCCTACCAGTCTACTAATACTCTACTAACACTCAAGTGAGAGTTAGTAGAGATGTAGGTGCAACGTTACTTATAGTCAACTGAATGTGTTAAAGGGACCATCCAAATAAAGTGAAACCAAATTTTCTTCATTAGTGTCCTGAAGATGAACGAAAGTTTTGTAGATCTGGAACGACTTGAGTGTGAGTAAATGACAGAATTTTCATTTTTGGGTGAACTAACCCTTTAAACAAAGAGCAACTGTAAATGAAGGGGGAAGTGTGTGTCCAGTTCCTACATGACTGATACACACGCACGTCTCTCCAGAACAGGTTTGAGAGGGGAATATGGGTGTGGAGAATCACAGCCCAGCAGCTGACGTGTAGATGATTCCCAATCCCGGCCGATCTCCAGCCTGCTGCACACACACGGATACTGTCTGTCTGTCCGACAGGCCCAGTCCACGGCCCTCTTCACTGCCTCCCAGTGCATCGGTCTGAATGGAGAAGAGCACAAAGTTATGGATCAAATACACAAGAGTGAATCACTATGAGTGAGGACGTGTGCTCGTACCTGGGCTCCTGAGACTCTTTCAGCCGGAGGAGAGACTCCAGCAACTGTCCCACTGCCAGCTTCTTCACCCGGATCAGCTGCAGCACCAGCAGAGTCGCCACCAGTCTCAGAATTTCAGCATGAGCCTTCACACCTGACAGACAAAACATGTGACTGATTAACTGATTCTGACTGTGTCTGAAAAAAGAAGATTAGATTATATCACTTAAGAGATATTAGATTAAAAAAATAAACAGATAAATAAATATATTTCAATTCAAAAATTACATTTAATAAAACACAAATATATTTGTCAAATGTGCCGTCCACTGTGAAATATCATTAGTCCAAAATCCAGCACCACAAAGCATTAAATATCTTCTGATTGGCTGTATGTCAAGTCACATGACATATTCCTGTTGAGTGTAGACAGACAGATGAACTGTGGTGTCGTAAGGCTTGTTCGACTTGAACCGGCGCTGCACAGGCTGATCGGTGAGTGACATCAAAGTACCACAAGAGCGATTAGAGAGCAGTCGGTCTGTGCAGCGCCGGTTCAAGTTGAACAAGCCTAGAATCCTGTCACGTCATGCTGGATTAAGACACTGTAGCATTAGGTGGGACTTTGTTGATTTAGTAAGATGGTTGGTTTATGCTACTTCCTGGAGTAAGAGAACACAGGTGTTCTAATTATTCCGTCTGGAACACTTTTGAGGATGAAATAATCTCTATTTGCCATGGAATAATGCAAGGTTAACGACATCAAATCTTTGAAAGATTTTCAGAGCTTTATCTGAGACTGCTGCGCCATTATTGAATTGAGATTTTTTACATGCTAGTGTGGTGTATTCCAGATAACCTGCCTTTAAACAGTATCCGAACAATACAAACTGTGATTGGTCACTTTACACATCAGCCAGACAGCTCTTCTTGTCTAAGTGGGTGGTTCTTTACCAGAATAAGCTGCAAAATGGACCAGAAACAGGCATGTAAACAATCTTCTTACCAAAGGAACGGATGCCTTTCTCCTGAAGGAAGACATTGGCAAAAAAGTCTACGTCCAGGTTGAGGAAGCTGCTCAGTCTCTCAGTGCACTCCCAGTATCCATCCTATATCCAAACACAATGCATAAATTCATATTCCCTTGACTTACACATTTACATACTGTATATAATCTAGTGCATTAAATCACGTGTTAACACCTCATGTTGAAGCTCAAACAGCTCCTTCCAGGCAACGGTGTCAGGCTTGCTGATTTTTTTTCCCAGACGACATGATTTCTTCCGTATTTGAATAGGAAAGCCAGTACTGTCTTTGGTTTCAGCATAAAAAGAAATGAGACATACATTTGACATGTTTTTAATCCATCTGAACATTGATCAAATAGGGAAACTCATCAATGTGATTCAACTTACCAGGTGCAGAAAACGCAGAGCGTTTTTGTTGTTGCCGAGATATTGCTCCAAAGCTAAAGGCTGAGAAAGCAGAACACTCCAATTCTAGAGGCTCAGTTGTCTCTCGCAGAATGGCAGGAGCGCCCCCGTATGCAATGGCATTTGGCACACCAATGGCAAGCTTACAGGTTTTAGGTTGACCAAAGGAAACAGAGGCAGCAGGAAGAGGGGGAGCCAGCAAGCCCCTGTCACTCATGGAAAAAGATACAGACTTCTGGGCGGAAGCAGGAGGAGGAGGTCTGAGAGTTCTGCAGAGAGACATGGGCTTCGACATACGGAGAGAAGAGTCCAAAATGGAATCCATAAAAGAAGGCACTGAGGTGTCAAGATTTGTAGCAGGAGGAAGACTGCCACTCATGGAGAAAGGGACGCGCATCATGGCACCAGGAGGAGGACGGCTGTGAGTCATGGAGAGAGATTCCATTGACCTATAGGATGGAGGGGGGTCTTGAAGGAGTTTAGGATGAGAAGCACGCATTGGGGCACCAAACATGATGCCAGGGGAAGGGGAAAAGTTTAGAGCACATGCCTCGATATTAGGAGAGGGATGCATGTCAAAAAAAGATTTTTCCAATGTTGAGGCTTCAATATGATCAGTGCTACTCCTACAAATTAATGGCGTATTTAAATAAGGTTGAAATGAGACATGAGAAAGAGAGTCAGACAACGACTCATGGACAGGGGGAGCTGCAAGCGCTGCTTCTAGAACACAACACATTTGTTCATAGCCATCCCCCTCATCAGATTCAGTACAATCCAATTCCAGAAGACTAGATTTGAAGTTGCTACTGGACCATTCCTCTGATTTCAACTGGAAAAATAAAAAAATGCACTGTTCTAAATACTGAATGAGTACATTATGTGACAAGAGCTGAAATAGACTGTTTTGTTGTTACCCATATGTCATCTTCCTCGGCACCAATACTATGCTGAGCCATGAGCTTCTCTTCAGTCCAGCCCATATATGGCAAAATATCCACATCCTCTTCTGATATGAGTTTAGGAATATCTGTCAATCCAGTGTCAGAATCATTCTGGTCCTACAAAGAGCAAATGAGGACATACAAGTCAATTATTTCATAGACTTCTTATCAACAAGACTGACGTATCAGATAATATTGGATATATTTTCATTATCAGTATCTGCTATAAATGGACATTTAGTGTTGCAAGTCAGAAAATGCAATTCTCAATGTGTAGAGATGTTTATTTTTTATTAATTATTTATGAACTATTAGTAAAGGCAGGTACAAGGAGAAGCTGCCTAAAACACATACAAGAACCATGATTTGAATAACTAAAAGATTTGACATTAAAAGCATAAATGCTTGAGAAATTTGTATTATTTAAAATTGTTTATGCATTAAGAAAAGGTAGAAGATGTTTGCTTAGGTATTATATGTTATTTATGTAAATTATTTTAGTCACCCTTCTTACTCTGTAATGGTTTGCTATAACTTCACAAATAGGTGTTTCCTTTAAGCTAGAAAGAAAGATGGGGCAACATAGTTTTGTTGTTGTGTTTCTCTTGATTTTGGAAGAAATTTTCAGTAAATAATTGAAACTTGAACGAAGACCCAATTTTTTTTGCCAAAAATGACAATACACGTTTATTGCCACACATTTAAAATATGTATTTTTTTAGTTTAAATATTTATTAGATGTAAGTTTTAAAGTGCATTTTTAATAAATATTATGAAAAAAAAATCATTAATTGAGATGATACGTTTAGAATAATCATACCCTCTCTTCGATGGCGACAAAGCTTGTGAACTGGGACAAGATGGAGAACTCTTTACTGAGCTCAATGATGTAGGACTTCAGCTCTGCTTTCTTCCCCTGATAGAGAGATACAAGACAACAAGTCAAGTTCTTCTGTTAGCAAATTTGCCAGTTCTATTAAAAACAGCAACAATCAGCAAAATATTGCACCTCATGTTCTGCTTCACTGTTGCCTAGAATGCCATCTTCATAGTCTCTGATGATCGCTCTTGCTGTTAACTTGTGAAGGAACTACACACACACACACTCAAATGCCTGATAAAAAATTGATGATGTTTCAGATTATATTTAGTATTTAAGATGTTCACTCACAGTTCCTTTCGTCTTTTGTAGTTCTGTGGTGGAAACCATTGTTTTGATCTCATTCCCACTCAAATCTCCAAACAGTGTGGCCTAAAAGAGTAAATATTACACCATTCAAATGAAATTTACAGCAGCAATTAACATAACTATATGAAGAACAATATTTAATTACTTTCATTTATAGTATGCAACAATATTACTATACTCTGAATAAGTGTCAATATTTACCTACATACTGTATATTTTAAAATATTTTAACATAAAAAATGCCATACAAAATCTTCATGAACATGATAATGCAAACAAACAGTTGATTCAGAGCTTTGAATGTATTTTATGAAACAGTTGGAAATAATTCATGGAAATAAATCAAACTCTAACTCTAATAGTAAAAAATACTAAAATTATAGCTAGATCCATAATGTTTCTTAATTTTACAGTTTTAGCAAAATCTTTGCGGATATATTGTGAATATTACAATATATTACTCAGTCCTAACTACAATAAGTAACAACCATCTGCAACACAATCGGATCAGCTGGTAAATAGCGCAGGTCTACCTGAGTGCAGTGCGGCACAAAGCCGTATATGAGAGTGTGACAGTCACTGAAGAGGCCGTGAAGCTGTGAGGGGGCTTGAACAGGAGGAGGCGCTGTGGGATTAAACTGCTGCCACTTCACTGCCACTGATCTGCAGCCTGGAGACTCCATACGCTGAACCTGAGCGCGCACCTGAAATTACCAGCATATCTAGTAAACTCAAGCCTCAGAGCGGCCCATGTTGAACAGATAATGTTCCCTTTTTCTTAATAAAAACAACAATACAATTAACAGCGTGATTCACCTTCTCTGCCCAAGTGTGTTTCATCTTTGTGTCAAAAAATTCACATGTTCCTCCACCTGCTTGAGCCAAAGCTCTGAGCATATGACGATTAGCTGTCAAGCTAGACAAACACAAACAGAAACTGTAGGTTCAGGAATGAATTGAAGTGTTAAAGAGATTTGTGTTGAACTCTTCAAAGGCAGACCTGAGTCCACAGGTGAAGAGGCGCGTGTGGCAGGAGTTTTCTCGGACCAGCTGTAGGGTCAGAGGCTGGTTCTGAACATGTCCATCAGAGAGTAGCAGGATGTTCCTCACGCCCCGGCAGGGAGACAGCAGGCTCAGGCTCTGGAGAGGCCGCCACAGCTCAGTGCCGCCACCAGCGCCACTACAGGACTGAAGAGACCACACATGCAATGACAACTTTAGTGATTAACCAAGGGCTCAAGGTCTAACTGGTTAGTGTGGTACAGTTACACCCTGCTGGATGATTCTGTAACTACAACATTATGGTGGCAAAACATCTCGCTCTAATTGGAACTGAGTGTCCATGAGCAACAACTGAAAAGCTGAAATGAAGGGAAGATGATGCATAATGTCTCCTGATGGAAGAAGTCAAAAACACAGAAGAATATCTCAATATGCCCTCTTTCAAAGCACAGAAGAAACACTCATCTTTAACCATTTTTTAACATTACTCACCATAATAAATTTTCTGGCTGGTTCAGAGGCTTCATCTAAAGGCACTGGAGCAGGAAAAGCTTCCTTGTAATCTTAAAAACACACACATTTTAAGATTAACACTATGTGAATGAAGGACCAGCATATAATATTCTTCACCCATAATACTTCACTGTGAATTACAAGAATAATAGGGAAATAAAAGTTTCTATATTACAAGATGATCACTAGAACAACAGCAGAATGTTTCAGTGAGCACTAACCAGTGCTGAAAGAGATGATGTTGATCTTCAGTGAGCGGTCCAGAGATTTGAGGACTTGAAGGGCAATCCTGCGGGCGTTCAGCATGGCGTCTCCCCGCATGGACTTGGAGGAGTCCAGTAGAATCACCACATCGCTCACACTGGACGGATCTCCAGAGCTGGAAACCCCGCTTGACTTAAAGTCTGGATAAAACACCAGCATGCAGGCCTGCAGGGATCAGACTCAGAGAGTGTCAGAGAACGACCTTTCTGTGTGTATTTTAGATCAGGCCATGTGAAAGGCCTTTTTGTCTGCAATTTGAATCAGATGTGACTGATTATTTCATTACCTGACTATATTTATCCGGATGGTTCTCGACCCACATCCTGGGCATGTGGATATTAGAAAGACTGAAGGACACCTGTAACCCTTCAGATCCAAGAGTCTGTCCCGGTAACGTGCTGACCACTGCCTTACAGTCGGTCATCTGAACGGGAAAAACACTGATACTGATAATAATACTGTTCATAACCAAATATGTTTTATTTCCTTGGAGAACACAACAAGTATTTAGTAAGACGATCCACAAAAATAAGTAAAATAACCTTGGTTTTGATGCGGTGTGAAGAACTCAAGTTGATGATCTCGTAAGGCATTTCGATGGACATAGACAGAGAAAACTCCCTGAGGAAAGAGGGAACGAATGAAAGAGAGTGTGATATTATAAAGACAACTTGGTTTGCTAAATTAAATAATTGTCTTTAATATTGTAACTAATCAGCAGATGCATTTAGATTTTTAGTGAATCTTTAGTGAATATCCCTGTGAATTCCCCAGTGTTTGAGACTCTCACCCCTCTGACTGAAGCTCCGTCACACCAATCTTTTCAACAGTTGTCTGAAATACAACAAAACTCTCAGTCAAAACACTGTAACTAACAGCAACCCATTCAGTATTTTCAATACAGTGACTAAAGACCAATCATGTTGTACCTGAGTTGTCATATTAAGGGCGGCGCTCTGTTGCCATGGTGCCACGCTGCCAGCCAGTGAGAAGACTATAGAGCCTGATCTCACCACCAGCTCAGTGATGAACGTCACCTTGATCAAAACTGTGGCTCCGGGAGGAAGGTTCCCCACGCTGATAGTGAATACATCCTGCCTCACATAAACACATGACCTTAAAGAAGTCTTCTGTTATTATCACTCATGCATCAGAGAAAGAAACAGTAGTAAGTAACTCACAGGTGCATCCTGGTCCATCAGGTAGGCTCCATGGCCCTTCTCTATGGCTTGCTTATACTCCTTACGAGCCTGCTCTTTTTCCTTTACCTACAGGACAAAGAAAGACATTGAAAACTGATGAGAAAGCAGTTATGAAGAGCAAAAGCTGCATTTGACAGATTCTGAATGACTTTGCACCTTTCCAACGACGTGTTTTCCATTGATAAAGGCTTCAAATCCACACACTGCTGCCGTCTCCTCCAGTGGAAAGACGTACTTTGCTTCAATGGGAACAGCACTCTTGTTTGTGTAGGTCTGAAAAATGATGACCTGATGACAGAGCAGAAAAAGTTTTGGTTTTGCTTACAGTTTGAAATTGTCATTATAATTTTGCTATGGTTCTTTCTTTCTTTTATTTTGTTCTTTTATTTTGTTTTAAGTTCTTGATCACCATGTCATGTCTTGTTCCTATTGCACACCCTAACTGTGTCCATTGCTGTTTTGTTTTCAACTGCCACAAAATTTAACAACACATTTTTGACCACCCCACATTTGCTGTCAGCCTCTTCATCACTAATTAAAATGTTCACATTTTTAATCATTATATTTTCTGATATTTCACTTATTCTATTTATCCTTTATTCTGACTTTTTATATTTCATAACTTTGTTGAACACACGATTGACCTTGGCAGTTAGAGAAAACAGTGATGCTTTGATTGAAAAACACACACACACACACACACACACACACATTTTAACTATTTATTTGAGTCCACTTAAAATAAATGATTTACAGGGACACAACTACTATAGATGCAGTCAAATGCATGCACATAATCATGGACAAGCGGCATACAGCAGATCTTCACTATATTTAGCGTCACTCAGTTGTTATGGGTACAAGTAGCACCATCTCCGCCAAATATGACGGCTGCCTATAATAGCAGACAGAGCGCAGTACTTTGCTAGCCGTTTAGCCCTCTCTTTGGGCATCCCTAGTTGTTGAAGCCCCCTTACAACCAGCCTGTGTGTGTGTCCTAAGCTGCCAAATATGAGCACAAGAAGTCGGCTCTGATAACCTAGTTCTGAGATGATGTTTAGAAGTGGTTGATATTTAATCATCTTAGTCATAAAGGCTTCTTCCATACTAGAGTCAAAGGTACATGCAACCTCCACAACGAACACCTCGCTGATCTCCTCATTAATCACAACAATATCTGGTGTATTTGCAAGCACATGAGAAAAGGTTTCAGAGCTATTACAATTCTGAAACATAGATGATTTTACACAAGAATGTTTGTACATTTTTACAGCAGATGAGAAATGGCTTGATATGTCCTTCACTATAAGATCCACTATTCTGTCGTGGCGTGCGATGTACATTCCTTTATAGGCATGGCAGCCATTCAAGATGTGTGGCAGTGTTTCAGTGATCTGTTCTGAAGTGTGATGCAAACAATGAGGTACCTGAGTTGTAGGAGACACACACACACACACACACACACACACACACTCGCAGTCCAGCAGTAGCGCCAACTGTAGTATCACACCTGACACAGCAGGTCCATCAGCTTGCACCTCACATTGACGGCCTGAAGAGGAATTTTCTGACCATTGCTGTCCAGCAAACCTGCAGTCATCTCCTCCAGAGGGTTTTTAGTGGACTCCAAACCCTCACTGTCATCACTGGACACTAAAGAAACACATCGAACAAAACCAATGATCAATTTCACAAATCCAAATCAGAGCATTCAGCTTTACAGAGCATCAGATGTCCCTGAGGAATGATTTTTCCCTTCACCATGTCACCATGTCACCATGTACACCATTATTATGAGGGGTTGTTTAGTGGGAGTTAAACTCAAACAGATTCCTCCACATATAAAAGCTCTTTCTACATGTCCTGTTCACTGGATGTTACTCACAGACGTCAGACGTGTCAGTGAGCTGTGTGAGCTCCACAACTGTGTTGATATGAGGCTGGAACTCTTTTAACTCGTCTCCCTCCAGAGTGTACTGAACCACATACTTCAGTCTGATCTGCTCTGTGTTATAGACAACAAACTCATCATCCTGTCAAATAGAAACCAGCACACACAAACACAAGAATCACATTAGATCCCCAAAACATGAGCAGAAGAATTGAGTACAGAGAAAATGACTAGCACCTCAAATTCAGAGAGTCTGTTGGGTGTGCGGTGGACTCCATGTACACTGTGGTAGCCTTCAGGGGCGCAGGTCAAAGTGGTGTCTTTCTTCAGCAGGTCTTTGCACCGACCCAACGCCACTTCACACACCAACAACAACCGAGAGCCGTCAGTTACACTGGGCTTGGAGTATTTCACACTAGTGCTTTAACACAAAGCAGAAACTTACTGACTGGCTCAAGTCTTCAGTTGTCAAGTGGAGTATTCATAAATCTGTTATATTAAAAGATGCCTGAGAAATGCAAAAGACCACTGACTTTAGAGAGTCACTGAAGTAGATTCCTCCTCCAAGATTCCCGATATCCGTCCTCTCAATTCCATGCTGTTCGACTCCAACTCTGGGCAGCAGCAGACCTCTACATAGAATATTCCATTAAAAATGTAAATTACATGATAAAACGAATAAGCAATCAAATGAATGACAATGAATTGCATTAACACTTGCTGAGAAAATCCCAAAAATGAACAAAAGACATGTAGTGGAAATTTTAATGATATTCATTGATCTTTAGTAAAATATAGATGATTCAAAGAATGTCACATGTGTGTCTCTCACTTGTAGTGAGAGAAGATTCTGTTTATGTACCTGGGGAGGCAGAAGAGGGAGACACTCCAGAGAACAGACGAACAAGGACCTCTGACCTAGATGTCAGAAGGCCATTTTTGGTGCAGGGGGGCTTATTGGGCCAACTAGTGACGTCTATGGAAAACTACTGGGAGGAAGGCTCTGGGGGGAAGAAGGCCTTGAAACTAAGATAAAAGCTAGTTCAGTCTGTCTGGGGGTGTGTCACTCTTCTGCACAGGGTAACAACTGTGTATTAGACTGCTCCTATTCTTGCAAGAATAAATTCTTCTATTTTATATAATTTGACTTTGAGTGTCTCTTACGCAGTGATGTTTGCTTGAGATGAATTTTTGCCACAACAGTTTTGGTGTCAGAAGTGATATTCCTTGGACGTGCCTCCTGGACCTGAGATCGGACGGTGTTTGGCCACCTGGACTAAGTAAGTTCCAGCTCTACCTCGTAAACTTGAGAGAGAGGGGCCGACCGATATCAGGGCCGGGAGAATCGACCACTGGAATCTAAAGAACCCGCAGGTGGCAACAGAAGCATCTCTGGTAAGAGACAGTTCAATTTATTTTCTTTTGGGTAAGTTAATTAAATTCAGTTTAATTGGGGAGAAGAGTGAAATTGAACCATATTGGCTGAAGGCTGTTTCTGTGGTACGTAATCTGAGATTAATTGAGATCTATATAGATCAAGAAATTTCAAACAGATACGAGGGAAAAATCTGAGATTAATTGAGGTCTGTAACAGAACAAGAAATTTCAAGCAGATAAATAATCTGGGATTAAGTGAGAACTGTAACAGATCAAGAGATTTCAAACAGATAGGTACCCTGAAAATTAGTTGTTCCACGACGGAGCAAATTGTTTTTAGGTACTGAGGCTAATTAGGGGGAACCAGAATTTTTTGGTAAACCATAATTAGGAGGGCACTAATAGTGCAACCCGACCGATTTGGGTTAAAAGAAAAGAATCGGATTTGTTTAGGGACGCCTAACAGATTAAAGAAAACGCGCGTTGAAGAGAAATCCACAGAGAACAGAAAACAGCCAGTATGGAGATGTCTCAAAAGCAAGCTTGCGAAATTTGTACACCGGTTTTCTGTAGAACTAGGAAAGTATGGGGGGAAATGTATATTTTAGATATTGAAAAAAACTGAGAAAATACCATGATCATGAGCTACCATGAGCACAAATAGACTAAGAGTGTGCGAGAATCAGTGGAACAGGGCAGCGGGACAAAAGGTTGTTGTGGCTGCGTTCAACATGTGTGTAAAAAATGTGAACAGATAATGGATTGTTCAGTTGAAGATGAAATGTCGAACTGCCAGGAGAAATAATGTTTTTTACTTCTTCGTCCAGTAAATGGATGCATGACATTAGATGTCTATAGAACTTAAATTTATATGACAAGGATTGAAGTGGCAAGAAGCAATAAGGCTGTCTGTGTGAAATAGAGGGAACTGTAAGTGAGACTTGGTACTGGTTAGATAATGAAGGAACTGGCATGTTTGAGAAAAGAAAGGAGAGGATAATGAAGGAACTGGCATGTAGGGAAAAGAAAGGAGGAATATAGTAGAAAACTATATGTGATGAAAATAGAAATGGTCCGACAGAATTTATGGAAGTCAAATGTTTAAATGATATGAAAAGTTTTAGAATAAAATAAGGCATTGTATGATTGACAGGGATTAACATGATATGAAGAATGTTTTAAGCAGAATGGGAAACAATTCTAGATTTTGATAAAATAATGATTGAAATGATGATATATCTGCTTTATTTTATTAATGTTAAGAAAATAAGGGTATTGGAGCAAGTAGCTATAATGGTTGTCTGTGTAATTTACGGACTAGTAATATAATCTGTTTTGGAGAAACAGTAGAGATAAGACTGAGACAATAATGTGATGGAAGGAAAAAAGGCTTCAAACCAGTAGTAATGAAAATGATGATGTACAAATTGTTACACTTTATGAAGAGTAACGGAACAGTCCGGGAAAATAAATAAATAAATAAATAGTGAGACAGAAGAGAGAAAATGCTGTAAACAGCTCTGCTCTGAAGATCTCACTTTGAAGAGATTTGCAGATGATGTTTTGTAAAAGATAAGCTGGGATAACAGCAACGGTACTTGTAATTAGTGTTGTTGATGATAATACCAAATTAGTAAGGTAAAGACAGAAAACAAATTCGAATATTTTGAGCATTTTCTGTGCTGCTCATGAAATTATGTTCTGCCAATAATAATGATGAAGAGTATGATTTGGCTATTGTGATTGAATCCGCCATTGGTGGAGGGTCAAAGGAATACAGAGAACTGCTTATCAGTGGGTCTGTTTACATTCCTGAATGGGACACACACTGCTTCAAGGGCGTGTTAAGTTGAAGCCCTTTGGGAAGCTCACAGTGATCAAACTGCAAGGTGTCTGATGCTGTAGTTGAGGCTGAAACAAATTCACTAGATGACAGAGAGTGTTTTAACGGTGGTCATCGGGACAATTTAATAGGTAACTGTAAATGACCACCGAGAAGGTGTTTAAAAATGTGATAAAATGACAACACATTTCTGGTAATAATATTGGTTTGAAAATAGATCAGTGTTTAAATGACGACAGTGACAATTTTTGGTCTGAGAAATAAGAGATAAAAAACAAGGTCAAAAGATTGAAGTCTTAAAGTGAATCCTTTTGTGACTCCAACAAATGTGAGTTGCAAAATATGTAAAGGTAATATAGAGAGACAGATCTCAAAGATGATTTATAATAACTGCAAAGGATGCAGAGTAGCCTTGTCAAAGTTAGTGTGAATCCTGATTGGAGACTGATAAACTCCTAGAAGAGAAAACTTTGAAGTCAGATATTAAGCTATGGTAATTGAGATTGAGAAATGTGAAACGTTATTGAGAACTAGAATAATTACCATTATGTAAGAACAAATAAGCAGATGCAGTAGGCTACTGAATTAACAGTTGCTAAATGTAAAATGTGTGAAAGGCATCTGATTAAACAAACAGCTTGAAAAGTTGACCATGAAAGAACTAGAAGCTGATGTTTTGCTCTCAAAAGATAAGTTTGTTATGGGCTGTATTGAAACAGTTCGCTTATCTAAAATCTGATGTGTGCTGTGCCTGAAACTGCCAGTGCGACAGAGACTCAATCTGAGAGGAAATTTGTAATGTCTAAATTCCCTGAGGTGGGCAAAAGACAAATATAAATAATATGTTTATTTGAAACCGTATGTAATTTCTGGCAAAGATGCCTTAAGCTGGGATAGAGTTAAAAGATGATAGATAAATGTTTGATGTTAGAAGTATATGAGAGAGCAGTGTACCATCCAATAGAGTCTCAGAGTCTCTCTCATTCAATGAGTCAGCTAAAAGCTGGTATCTGTGATAATGTAAAGCACAGTGTTTCAGTTGAAGATCATAGACACAGAGATGTTTTAAAAATAAAACTGAATGACTTTAAAGAAGTATTTAAAACAATAATACAGATAGAGATGACATTTTGATTAGCTTATTTTAGGACCAGTAACTTCTCTGTCTCATTTAGTCTCCACCATTCAGGACCGATGGCTCCGGCTACAGATGAAGTACACTGAATGTACGGTTGTGATCTAAATTCACTGAGTATAATCCAAGCAGCTAGGTTGCTGCTTTTAAGATGGTTAATGGATTTAAGTGATTAAATACTGTTGTTATTGACCTGTCTCCCTATGTGAACACTATTAGGCAATCGGAATGGCTCTGGTGACTCTTGAACGTGCCTTTCCTAAGCTCTAGAAAACAGCTGAGTTCTGTTGAAGCAAACAGCCTGTGATGGGAAAGAGCGGTCACCAGTGTGTACAGTGGCTACTCAATGACGGGTTTGATCTTCCTGGCCAGGGGACAGCCTAACGCAGGGGGTCACGAACATTGGGCACCTCCGGGATGGAGGTGTTATATGTGAGAAAGGTATGAGAGTTGAGCGCTGATTACTGGAGGCCACCGGGGTCAGCAGAGCATTGAGAGGTGAGATGCGCTGTGAGGAACAGTCACGGCGGTCTGACCCAGAAAATGTGAGTTTCCTCTACATACCACTCGCCAGAAGAAACCGCATTCATTGTATGGCTTGTTTTTTTTTATTGTGACAAGCGTCTGCAAATATGCCAGGGGAAAACACCCTGATGGAGATTATAGATAAAGGGCTAACAGGAGTGGGCTTTCAAGAGCCAGCTGAGGCCATGAAGTGATTCCCATTAGTTGTTGTGGAGACAGTAGCAAAACTTTTTATGTACTGGTTTGCCTTATGGGCAAGGAAAATCATAGTGTTGATTTTGAACTAATATGTTATAACATAGTTTTAACTCCTGAAGGTCGTTAGACATGGTGGTGGCTAAAGATGAAGACAGCTTTTGTAGATTTGAGAAAAGTCTGGATAACAAGGTGAATGGTCAAAGGTTATTGTAATTAATTTAATATTACATTATGTCTAAGTTACAGCCTTAGAAGGCTGTTGAAAAAGATTTATTTATAGTGAGAGAGACTGCCTGAGTTGGAGGAAGGGATGGTAACTGTGTCTGTCTTTCTGTTATCTGCCTGCTAGAGCAAGCTGAAGCAAAATAATGATAATGAAACAAAACAACCCAGCTGACTTGTCTAAAAAATCAAATGAATAATGAACAGACGTGCTTTGAAAGTGGTTAAAATACCATGTAAAATTAGGTAGAAGCTACAGGGAAAATGGAAAGGTTAAAATATTATTTAAAATTTAAATCTTTTAGCAATAATATAAAGAAAAATGAATATTG